TTCTAGGTAAATCACGAAAGCAATATTGAAAAAAACACGTTTAAAACGAATAAAACGGTTTAAGATTCTGAGTGGAACGATGAATGTATTGATTTTACAATGATGTGTTGTTTTTTTTTTGTCTGTGTATACGATAATTAGTCAAAATAATGCTTCGATTTTCAACTTCAGTATCTTGTTCGATGGGAAAGTGAATATTGATATTGCATTCGGGAGGTAAAATTTTAAAATTCCCAACAGTTTTCAAAAGCGAAGGGAAAAACCACATACAAATTAAGAAAAAACAGGCATTTTTGCTCAAAATCGGTTTGCCACAAAATCGATTTTGGTTTTTGTTGTAACTCTAAAAAAAAATGAACATATATGCATAAAATTTTCATTGGTCGTTTATATTTGTATTTTCTATACACAATAAAATTTCAAAAATATTTTGATTTGTTTGGAACTGTTTAGGAACATTTTCTGTTTCCAATTCTATTAGTCATTTTTTTCTATATATAGCGTACATAAGCTTGACAATTTAATACAATAAGGCTCCTACTATATTATAGTTACAATGATATTTCAAAATATTAAAAAACCTTAGTCACAGTTTTTATTTATAATTATTTAAAGTTCAAATCTTAACAAAGTACTGAAAAATCACGAAAATTAGCAAATTATTTTGAGTTGAGAATTCATAAAAATTTTTCTTTTTAAATCTAAGATTTGAAAATGTAATACAAGACTTCTCGTAAGTTTGTCTACCTTTATAAAAAAAAAAATGTCTACAAGCAAATCAAATTAAATTTTTATGAGCGTTTAAAATTCATATTTTTACAATATTGGATATTCACTCGATTTATCATGTAGTGGTTTTGTTATTTTATGGTTATTCAAAAACGAATAACTGTAGATACATGCAAATTTTACTAAATGTTTATATTTTCATTTTCTATACACCATACAATTTCGAAAATATTTTGACTCTTTTTGGGCTGTTTACGGACATTGTCAGTTTTCAATTGTTTTAGTTTTTTTTCTATAAATATCTATTAAGTTATATCCGTTGGGCTAAAAATTGTAAAAATGTAATACAAGGCTCCTGATATATTGTTACAATATCAGTTGAAAAATATCAAAAATACATAGGCACAGTTTTTTTTTATAAGCATTTAAAGTTCAAATTTTGACAACATTTATCAAATTTAAAATTTAATAATTATTTTTTAGTGAACATTTTATAAAATATTCAACTTCTATAGCTAAGGATTGAAAATTTAAAACAAGGTTCCACGTATGTAGTTTATTCTGTTACCAAAAAATCTAAAAACTACATTAGCACAGATTATTTTTATAGTAATTTTAAGTTAAAATTTGGACGAAATTACATATTAAAAACCCTAGGATAATTATTTTAGTTATTTTGTTGTGGTTGTATTATTAGTGGGAACTGGGAACTTGAAACTTCTAAATTACACTATTATATATCTATGATAGTATCAGGGTTTGTTGTTTATGTATAACGCGTTATAAGTACCAAATGGATATTGTAATATGATTAATTTAGAATTTATTATATTTACCTATTATAGGTCAACTTTTTTAAATCCATAGATAGGTATATAATATGTCTTTTACCTAGACTGACATACCGGTCATATCAGAATCGTTTTTTTTATACAATGATATTATATCATTGAATTCAAATTTAATACCATCCATTATACAGTGACCCACTTGTAACCTACTGTACAGCAGAGCACCTTTTTTAATTTTTAATTCTCTCAATACATTTAGTCTACACTAACTGGAGACTTGGTCTGTGTAATATATATAATACTTATCTGTACTAATAAATCAAAAAATTGTACTTGTTTCTGCATTTTCAATTTTGTATATGCTTTTGTACCTACTACATAATTCTATTAATTCAGTAGGTATGTATAGAAAAGCTATTGGCTATTTCATGTGTTCAATAAAATTTATGATTTTTATTATTTTAAACCATATGACTAATTATTTATATTGATATTATATATAAAAAAATAAAAATAACTTAACTTAACTTAACTTAATAAGTTAATTGAAAATGTTCATATAACTTTTAACTTAACTAAGTTAAAAAAAAATTAGGTTAACTGTTAACTTTAAACTTTTTAAAATGTTTTCCATTAACTCAACTTAACTCGGTTATTCAGGCTCGGTTGTCCAGGCTTGAAGTGTTGGGTCAATCACTTTTAAAAAGTAATGAAATTACGTTACTCGTTACTTCAAATATTTTTATTTAAATTACATTTGCGTTTACCTAAAATTATTTTTATCACATTACATTACTTTTTCATTAATAAAGTAATGCATTATAAATAACGTTACTTTTTTTATCATTTTTTGTTAACCATATTCAATTCATATTATTTAATTATTATATTATGTATAAATTTTACAATCATAGACCTAGTGATAATAGAACTATTATAGTATTATGTACAAATGTACAATCATCTTACCTATATGGCTATATATAGTCATAAGTCACAAATCATAATTCATTTTAATTAAACTTTATTTTTAAACCGAACTCTTTTCTTTCTGCTAATAAAATGATATCATTTATTCCTGGAATGTTTAGTAATATTGTAAACTATTATCGGAATCAAAATTAAATATAATTGATTTTTAATTTTTCTGGGATATCCTATTATTGTTTTGCCCTTGTTTTGCCCCCTACATTTAAAACTATTATTTTAATAACGTGGAAAATAACTGTGCGTTACTTCAAAGAAATTACTTTTCAAAAGTAATTTGGTTACAACTGAGTTACTTCAAGTAAAATGTAATGAAATTACTGCTGCGTTACTGAAAAAGTAATTGTGTTACACTAATTTGCAATTTGCGTTAGGACTTCCGATACTACCAACACTGTACAGTGTACCTTACCTATATCAGCGAAGTATTACCCAGTAGTGCCCACTAGTTTTTATTTTTTCTCGATTCGAGCACTGATTCTGAATTACCTAAACATGATATTTTTCAGAAACTACATTATAATAAAGTAATATTTTGTCAATACTAAAGAATTCTCTGCTTTTTACGATAATTACATCATGTGACATGTACTATTAAAATAACTATTTAATGCTTATAAAAACATATCTTGTTTGTTAATTGTTCATACAACTAAAAATTATTTTTATTTTATAAATATTGTATTTAAATAATAACTCATCCACTAACCCATTTAATACATTTCATTTATTATTTTTAATATCAGTATTTATTTTTAAATTAGTATTTCTGAAATTTAAGAAAATTTAATACACTCAAAACATAATTTAATTTACTTACACTTATTCGATTTGTTTCTTTCTTTTTCTTGTTAACTCGTCCACACGTTTAATCTTCGATAAATATTTGAAATTGCTGTACTTGTTTAAATAGATATTAGCCTCCTTCCGTAGAATATTAATTTCGTTGATAAGATTCATGTTTTCTTCCATTGTTGAATAATAAAATTCGTTTTTCTTGCCAAATGCGTTTAAAGCTTCTTTCAGATTACCAATACGATGTTTCAAAAAATCATCCTGCTTTAAAAACTCTTCTCTCCCTTTCATTTCTTCTTCTTCGATCTCATGAATCTCAGTTTTTCCTACGTATTTATTGAAAAAAACCTAAACAATATATGTACATGCATTTTTTTTTTTTTGAACTCTAAATAACCATTCAACTTACAGTTAATAATCTTTTGTTTTCAAATTGATTATAGTAAAACTGAGAAGCCAAACGTATGTCAATTTCCATTTGTTTGATTTTATTTGTCAATTTTTCTAAGATTTGTCTTTTATTATTTAGTTCTGTTTTGGTGTCATCTGTTCTTGTTTTTAATTCAGTATAAAATTTACCTAAACGCTCCAATGCATTAATATCCACTTCGAGTTTACTGTCTATCTGCATACATAAAAATAATTATATTGTATTTTGAACAGTTGACTACTACTTGAAAATGACAACAATTAAAATATAGGTAAATTAATGTGTTAGTTACTTGATCATTTTCATTTTTCATATTTTTTATATTTAACTCTAATGGTTCGGTGGTTTGTTCTAATTCAATTATATCTTCCTTAAGCATATTTAAATCTTTTACAAATAGTGACATTTGTTGCTTAACATCTACAATTTGGGAATCTTTTTTCGGTATAATATCCTTGGCTTGTTTCAGTAATCTGGTCAAATCAAAAATTCTATCCTTTTTTTTAGTGGCCGCCAGTTTTAATTCTTCCATATCATTTTCAAGAAGGGCCACTGACTGCCTTAGTTCCTCGATACTTATAGTATACCTAAACAGTGTTTATAATTGATATACATACAGTTATGTATTAACGCGTGCTAAAACTACATACAAGTTATGTTTAATTTTGTCCTCTGCTAAGATACTCATAGTTTTTAAATATAATTCATTCATATTATCCAGCTTTTCGGTGAATTTTTTTTTTATATCTAAAACATTTTCATCTACACTGTTCTCAGTATCACCCACCAACATTTTAGTGATATTTTTTTCATTAATTAGTTTTTCCTTCGCCTAAAAACAAATGCAATCATTATTTCAAATTTCTCGATATACACTATAGTATTAAATCATATCATAATATACAACTATACAAGTAATATGTCTTCAATTTTTTCTCTAAGTTGCTTATCGTAGTTACTTTTTGCCTCCTGTAACTCTTGATCTAAAATTTCTTGCCGAGCTTCTAAATTTCTAATTCAACCGTAGTAAATTATAAATTATAATATTATAGTGTAATAAATCATAAAAAAAATTACTTTTTTAATCCAGAAGTTAATATAAATCCTTTATTTTCAAGAATTGAAAATGTTTTGTATTTGTGTACTAATTCTTTATTATAATATGATTCTAAATTGACTACATTCTTCTCATTTGTTTCAATTAATTGATTTAACTCAAATTTCAGTTTAATTATAATTTTTTTTTGCTCTTCTTGTTCCTCCTTAAATCACTTATATATTAATATTGTATTATTATTCATTTTCAATACAAAGGTTATTACTTCATTTTTTTTAATGGTTTCAAAATATTGTGTTGTGTTTGCTTTGTTTATATCTTTAATTTCCTGTTCATTTGCTTTTATAGTTGTATTTACATTAATTGTATTTTCTGTCTCTAATTTATTCACCGCTGTTTCAATTTTCTTGATATTTTCATGCAATTTATCGTACTTTGACAAGTTGACTAATATGTCATCAGTATATACAAGCGGTTTATCAATCTTCCTAGACTTATTCGCTGTGTTTTTCACTTCCCATACACATATATTCGAATCTTCTGAACAAGAAACCAAAACTGAGCCGTCTGTCCCCAAACACATCTTTACCAATAACCAATAGGTACATGTCGACAAATAAAAAATTCTTTAATCACATTTCAATAAAAATACAAATATCATAATACATATTTATTTATAATTATTACAACAGAACAGAACAATTTTATTAATTCATAAACAATGAAAGTTTAACACGCACATTATTTAATTTTCACATATTATATTTTGATAATTTTATTTTAGACTATTTGCCTTTAAGGGGGCTCCAGACGATGAAAAAAGAGTAACTTTTATACCAAAAAGCCAGACAAAACTGGAGGAATTTGGTTTGAAGTATTTTAATTTTGAAAACGGATTATGATTGATCAATAAGTTTACTATATTTTATCAGAGTTGATTTTTAATATTCCAATTATTGTTAGTGCCATAATGAATAATATAAATACAAAAATATCATATTTTTATTCATGGAGGTCACAGCTGAAAAAATAGATATTCAAAATCGCCTCGACCGAATCCTAGTAAACTTGGTTATCAATTAAAGTTTTAAAAATTAAAATCTGTCAAACCAAATTCCTTTAGTTTTTGCTGGCTTTTTGGTCTAAATACCACTTTTTTAAACTGAAAAAATTTTATCTAATTTAATATCCTTGCCAATACCTTTGCGTACGTAAGTTAATTTACGATGATTATAAATAACGACCAACCTACCGGGTGATATTATGTGGACCTACTGTTATAATTTAAGACATATCTACAAAATATTGACCGAGAACGATCACAGATTAAACTCACACAAGTTCGTTTATTCTGCACACACTTACAAGTTATTTCAATGACATCATGTTAAATTGCCTATATTAGTTTCCTTAAAACACAACAGACTGGAGCCCCTTAATTTAAAAAAAATATTAATATTAAACTATTTGTCATTAGAAATAATAGTATCCAAAGACAACTTTCATACCTAACATACCTTCTTGATGCTATGACTGTGGATTTTGAATTCTTTGTATTCGATTTGAACACCCATAGGTAATATTACTGTCAATATAATGCCATTTTCGGCTGCTATGAATAAAATCAAATTTGACTTAGAAATGGATACTGCATTCAACGGTGTTCCATAGAAGTTCACTTCACGTTTAACCTTAAATAAAACGATATTATGCATAATTAATAACACAATTTACTATTTAGACATAAATAGGCTATTTTATATTACTATAACGCCACCCTAGAATTTGTTGTAATTATTGACCATTAATCTTTAAAAACTTAAATAGTAGAAAGATTTGCTATTTGAATTTGAATTTTTTTGGTTCATTGGCATATTGCCAACTGATTTTTGAGTATTTCTACCTTTTTGTAGAACTTAAAAAGATAACACTGTCTAAGCTTCATTTGTGTCAATTATAAGGATATATTTTTAATATGAAGCTTATTTTTTGTATAATAGTATTTAATAATATGTTATTTAAATTGAACCTAATTTACATAATACAAAATGATACCAAAATTGAGTAGACGGCAGTAACGTTGTTTTCGTTTACAAAGTGAACTACAAAATTGGGTAAAAGAAGAAAGTATTTTGGTTTAATGCAGTGCGTAAACCAAATATTCTTATGGGGATGGGTTATTTTAGAGCGTTATTTTCATAAACAAACGTAAATAAACGTAAATAAAATTGAAAACCTTTCGATCGTAGACTTCTTTCAAACTGCCATCCCTGGCAATGACGAATAATTGATTAACGTCTTGCGCAACTGCCAAATCCGTATAAGCCGCTCCCGAGTAGGGCGCAATGTGCATGAGTACATTTCCGGTTTTTGTGTCGAATGTGCATATGGCACCAACGATGTCGTAAGCGACTATGTTCAAGTCGTGGTTGCACCAGACCAACTTCTCAATCTGGTCAAAGATAAATTGGCATCATATAAATGGTTAGTACAATATAGGTAATAGGTGAACAGTTATCATTGGACTTTGGTACTTTCTGTTATAACTAGAATAAGGACTTTAGTACCTATGTCATTGGTACTAAGTATAATGAGCTTATGCACAAAACTATTAAAATGTCGTTAATAAGCTTAAAAAATAATTAAAACAAGGCCTACATAACTCTTTTTATAACTAAACATTTTATTGATTATATTATAATATAATATTGTATTTAAAGACATCACTGTAATATAGGAAAATAGAAAACAGTTTTACGATTTCAGTTTTATATTTTTTTTTTTAATGTACAATAACTTACTGCTATTGATTACGCGTTTTCAGGGGCGTACCCAGGACTTTTTCAAAGGGGGTCCACTTTTTTTTAACCTGTAAAAAGTATACAATCAGTGGTTTGCATCTTAAGACTTTTTTTTCTGTCAATAAATGGTCCAGAAATGGGGGGGGCCAGACCCCCCCCCCCATGGGTACAACACCGCACATTTTATTGTATTTGATTTTATTATGTATCAGTTCAAAATAAAGCTTGGTCAGATTTAAATCAATAAATGTGAATTACAATTTTACACAAAATAATTTTACAAAATTATATTTTGAATTTTTTGGGCCAATTTTGAATTTTATACTTTTGTTATTTTTAAATTTGTAAGTAATGACTTTTTAGAGAGTTGATAAATTTTATAAATTAAAAAAAAAACGAGAATAGTACTTTTAATTTTTCAATTCTTCAATAAAACTGAAATCGAACACGTTGTTATAGATTTCTTAAAGCCTTTTAAAAGGGTTTTATTTCTTTATTTCAAATTGTTTTTTATAATTTTTTATGTGGTTCAAAATTCATACTCTACATATTACATTACTCAATGTATAATTAATGCATAAATTCTTGTGATACTTACAGGTCCCAAGTGTCCGTGGCATGAAAAACATTTTACGAACAATATCGAGCAGTAGACGTCTATGGCGCCTGGTTTAGCCACTGCAAACTTGTGACCGGATCCGCTGAACGTGACCGCTGTGCAGTTCCTGATTGGGAAATTTTCTAACGGCACAAGATCGTCCATCTGAACCATCTGGAACTCCATGTGGTCCGAAAACGCTGTTACGGAATACAGTCCGGTGGGGTGCATTGAAACGACGCACACCTGTTTTGGGTAGTGTTTAGACAGCAGCAACGTGCACTGCACATAGTCCCACACCTTGATGGTGAAATCCAATTTGCCGCATGTCATCAGGAACGGTTTCCACAAGCTTGTCGATAAGCTCTCTACGACGCCATGATGCATATCCACGCCGAGTGGTCCGGGTATGGTGGGCAAATTCTGACAGATAAACAAGAAAATACCAAACCCGTGGTGAGAAATACGTACATGCAGCCACGTAGGTAAAACAATAATAATATTATATCTAAAGACCTTATGCTAGTTACACTGTTGTATAAGTAATGTGTATAATATATTATATATTTATATCGTATAATAAGCATCATTAACTATAATTAATAGGACATATATTGATGAATTTATTTTTGAAAGTCTTGATTCCCTAAAGATGCTTCCCTAACTAAAAATGCGTTTCAGTGAAGTATACTATACAAATCTAAAAAACTAATTTTTATTTTGTAGTAAAAGTAATTTTTAATAATTTCCCATTTGTTGATAGAAATATGACACAGGTTTATTATATTTTACATTTTTACTTATAGTTCATGATTTTTCTTTTTTAGGTTACTTAATAGACTTTTACATTGAGGAGTGATAGGAGTTCCCTTTATAGACCCTTTCTGTATTCGAATTGCCTCTAATAGATTCAATACGTACATTTTACCTCATCAACAAAACACATACTTAATATATTAAATATCTGTATGGATCATTGATTTTGGAATTCGAGAAAAATTATTTTAATGTATTGTCAAATCAATTCATAAAAAATATTAAACGCTGTAGTAGTAATCGGAGTAATAAAAAAAATTCGTACTTCTAGATTTTGAATTTTATTCGAGTGCATATGATAAACAAAAGAAGAAAATGTGGAAAATTACACACCTGAATCAAAGAGTTTGAATGGTTTTCTTACAAACTGAAAAGTACCGTGTAAGTTCTAATTTTAGAAGCATCAAGATTTCGTCACTATAGTCGTTCCTAGTTCCTACGCTAGACCTTATTATAAGTATCTCCCCGATAACGTAGACAGCATTAATAATGTATATTTAATTATATTGTCATACAGGCATTGCCGGTACGTCATCGTTTTCATCCAGCTGAGACAGAAGGACCTGGTACAGTTGAGGCCGTTTCGTGATGAACGTCAATATCTTGCCGTTGGGGCTAACACACGCGCTCTCTATGTAATGCATCGATAACTCGCCCTTTAAATCTCCCTGTTGCAAGTACCGATACTCTTCCTTAATGAACGTGTCGATTCTCTCGTATCTGCGAAAATTAAAATCAGCTTAATCACCACATTTTAAGTCCATAACTAACTTGTATGTGTGTGTGAATATCTACCTCCGTCCTTCATCCGTTTTCCCGAAATGATAGATGGTAGAGTCACCAACCAGTAGTACCAAACCAGATTCATATGTAAAACAGCTCCGGATGATGTCGTTTCTCGATAAATTAGCGGGTTTCGTGGTCAAAGACTGATAGACCTCTGTCATTATCGTTGTCACGTCTATTTCACTGATCGCGTCAACGCGGTACAAAGCTTGCAGTTCACCGTTCTTGAACAGAATGACGTTGCCGTCTGCGGTGCCCGCCAAACATCTGTACACCCAAAGAATAAATACAATCAAAATCATATAATGGTTCGTTACACGTGCAAGTAAACGCCCGGGTAGTGGGGTAACATCGAGTTTACCAGAGTGACTTTCATAATGTCAGAAATTAAATTGTTTTTTATTTATTTTTTATTACACGTCTACACTACACGGATAGTTAAGGACTTTTTTTAACTTTTTATTTTTACTCCACATATTAAAACTTTTTTGTTGTTTCATTAATGTCATTATCAGGGTTCTGGAATTAAAGCCCAAACAATTTTCGAAAAATCGTTTAAAAAGCTCTTAAAAACCAATAGATAAAAAAAGAGGGCAATCTCAAAAATGGTTACTACTTACTATAATGGTATTATAGTACCTATACCTATAGTTAAATGCATTGTTTTATATTATAGGCTTATAGGGAGTTATAGATATAGTCTTATAGTAACTTCATACAAATTTATCACGGTTTATGTTTATGATGATTATCAATGGTAACATCATTCCTATTTATATTTAGGCATTTAGTTAAAAAATAAAATAAGAAAATTATTGCTATTATTGTCATTTAATTTTGTTATGGTTTCCGCAAGCGCTTTTTCTATCGCTAAGGGATACATTGGATGAAATAATTGAGAAACGTTGATCATTGATCAATATACATATCACATCTGTTATTACTCATTAGTCATTATATTATACTAAAATATATTATGTATATAGAGAAATAGAACAGAGTATACCTACAGTGTTACCTAATACCTACATTATAGACATTAGACGTATAGTATTTACCTGTCTCCGCACAACCAACATATGCATGTAAAGTGTATACCTTCAGCTTCGCGGAAACCATATTGCTGCCAGTCCGCCTCGGCTTTGGTCATCAACCGAAACAACTCTTTGCCTACGAAGCAGCATATGGCAGTGTCAATCGGGTTCAACGCCATCTGCGAAAATCCCAAACAACAATAATTATAATATGTTAGCTAGTTCAATAACGATAGGTAGTAATGCGTTATGTATAGATAGGTACTGCAAGTTGCAATCGATCAGGGCCCGATAAGGTGAACCATATAGGTGAACAATTTTTTATACAAAACAAATTAACAGGATGTACATTTTTGTACTCATAACTTTTAAGATAATAATATTTAATGTTTTCTTCAGAACTATTGGCGATTGAAAGCTCATACATTTTCGGGTCGGCGGGGGGATCTTTAACGGGACACTGGAAAAATAACATATTATAATTAATGATAGGTACACAGCTTCCCCGTTACAGCGTATCACTTCCAATCGCCAATAATCAACTGCAATAAATTATACATATATCGCTGCACTCAGAATCTAAAACATAACTTTACTATAGTATTAATGTATTGGCTTAAAAAAGTAAATGACTTTAACGTAAATTAATTTAATATAAACACAAATAAGCAATAATTATTAAATTTAAAATATTAATGAAAAACTATTATAATTGAAAAGAAAATTATACGTCTGGTTATAAGGTATACCTATAATATTATGTATATTATTAGTATGGGCTATAGTAAAATTGTAAATAATATATATTATTATTCATCTAACATTAAGATATCTAGTGACAAAATATATGTTAATTTCCATATTGGTACCTATAATGCAAGGGTCTCCAAACTACGGCCCGCCAACAAATTTTAACCGGCCCGTGGCCCGCATAGGTAAATATAGATAAAAAAATTATTTCAAAAATGTATTTATATTATGTATATTATATTTATACCTATTTATTTTTATTTAAGTATATTGTAAAGTAAACAATATTTTATACAAAAATATAAAGTAAACATATTATTTATATAGGACATATAGGTATCTATATTATCATAAAGTTAAAAATTATATGTGTTAATAAACTTTTGGCCCGCTAAGAGCATTTGATTTTTTTGTGGCCCTTGAATAAAAAAGTTTGGAGACCCCTGCTATAATGCATTTGATACATGTGATACATGTGCCTAATTATTGTACGGTTAAACACCATTAAATAAAACATATTACAAAATATGGTACAATTATTTGTTATATGAATTCGGGGCATTTGAGGTACCCCACAATATTTAGTAAATTCATAGATTTATATTCACTGTTTTTATTTTTCACCAAGCCATTATGCCATTACACACACACACACACACACGCATTCCTCGCATCTCCTAAGTCATAACTTACGTCGGACACGGGGCCATCGATCCGCACGTACGTTTCGACCGTCGAGTTTCTCCAGCTATAATAGTACAGCGTGCAGTCCGACCCGTCGTGGCCGCCGATGACGAGGGCCGCAATGAAGATGTTGTCCCACAAGAACTGAATCTTAGAGAACCGCCGCCGATAGGTCTTTTGCGATTCGTCTTCATTGTTTTCGCCGTCGCTGTAGTCTGGTTCCTGGAACACGTGCTTCAAGTCCAACGTGCGCAGATCGTAAATGCTGACCACCGGCCTCTCGCCGCCACCGCCCGCTGACCCATCCACTGCGTCTTCCTCGTCCACCGTCGCCACGGCCAACATATGGCTGAAAGTCATTCAGTCGGTTGGGCACTTAGATATAGTGATGCGTATCGCGATACATTACAGCACGCCAATATATTAAGACTTCTAATCTCGGGGTCGTGGGTTCGAGCCCCACTCTGTCGTATAGGTACAGCGTTCACAGACTTACACATATAACTTTATATTTATAATAAGCACTTTTATTAAACGTTGACGTCCAATGGCGATCGAGTCACACGATCACCACCTGGATTTAACACTGGAGGTCGGTGGTAATCGAGTCACACGATCACCACTCACTGGCCCTCTTTCTGTCTTCCCATATTACTTTTATATCAATATTACAATCGAAGCACTATTGGTAGTATCTACCTATATTAAATTTAACCTAGTTACATTATACTTACTGACTATGCTTAAAATTATACTAATTGACATTGTATTACATAATAATTGTTATCTTATCCTAATTTGGTCGAATGCATAATTGTTTCTATGTTGTTACTTAGTTTATTGAGTATGATTTGATTGGTTTTGTTATGGTATTTTACCTGTTACATATGAATGTTTACTTAACCTAGTTAATAGTTTTAATTATATTATTTTGGAACAAGTCTAGTTTACCGGGCACATTTTTTTTTGAAATTTTTTTTTTGAAAAGGGTTGTTTTGACGAGTTAAGAACGATGGTGCAAAAATAAAATTGCGGAAATGATTATTTTGGAAGTTATAGCTTCCCAAAGTTAATGATTTTACGTTTATACGCGTGCGCGCAACACTACTATAATACCGGGCGGAGGACCTCGAGTTTGGCGACCGGAGGACTTTTTTAATTGTTTTATTGTGATGGCATACCCAATTAAATAACTATATTACTATTCCTATTATAATTATATTATTAATTACCTATATCTTTTATAGATAACCAAATTACCTATAGTTAATTACCTACAGTAAGCAGGGCGCCAGGGCAGTGATTACACAGTTTTCGACACTCGTCGCTACGCTCCTCGGCGCCGTCGCTCCGCTCCGCAAATCGAAAATATCCATCGACTTGCTATGCAACAACACCTCAAGTAGTTCACAGGGTAATTAGTAATTACTAATTGTTGTATCAGTTATCATAAAAGATAAAAACAATTAAAAAAGTCCTCCGGTCGCCAAACTCGAGGTCCTCCGCGCGGCATTATAGTAGTGTTGCGCGCACGCGTATAAACGTAAAATCGTTAACTTTGGGAAGCTATAACTTCCAAAATAATCATTTCCGCAATTTTATTTTTGCACCATCGTTCTTAACTCGTCAAAACAACCCTTTTCAAAAAAAAAAAAAAAAGGTGCCCGGTAAACTAGACTTATACCATTATTTTTATATATTATGCATGATACAACACATTGTATCAAGTACCAACTATGGATAATTGTATATGGAGTATTCGCCTTGATGGCTTGATATTATAGATACTCGATGATTAAAATTTCAATTACATACCTAGTCTAACTAACTAACTAGATAGATACCTAGGTAAATTAAAAAAAATAATTAAAAAATTCAATAATATCGATGGTGTTCATTTTTAAATAAATTTTATTAATATAAAAAGTGGCCTTGAAGGCATTTTATTTAAAGTTTTAAAATAAAATGAAAATAAGTTCATTATCTGAATGACTGAATTTTATAATAATTTATAATTGTAACAATCTACTATTTACAATATTTCAGTGTTAATGTTGATGATTTACGGCCAAAGTCAGTAATTTATATTATAAACTCATAAATAAAGATAAGAAGAAAAAATTATTATCCTCAAGAATACAAAAACAATAAAAATGTATATGAAAATGAGATAAAATTCTAAATTTCTAACTTCAAACTCTCAAAAAATTATTGTTTGTTTACTATTTTTTTTTTTCGAAATTCCAGTAATATGTAATAACAACTTAAAGTGACTACACATAGGTAATTCAATAAAAATCTAAATATTAAAAAAATTATAGATATATAGAAAATACTAATATTATAAACATTTGATAAAAATTCTTGTTTTTCCTTATTTTTAGATTATTTTTTTTTCGTATGTCCTATCATCAGTAATCACAATTTATTGAATGATACAATATTATTGTATACCTAATAAAAACGATTCTGAACGAAGATGATTTATGAGTAGGATATTTTATATTGTTATTATTAGGGTATTATACGGTAGCCGGTAAGGTTAATTATTATTACCTATTTGTTTATTATCATATTCGTATACAATAATATACTTTAGAAGTTTCAAGTAGGTACCCACGAATAATATTTTTTAAATATAACACAAAACTAAAATAGTTTTTCTTAGCTTAAATATCTAATTTTGTACAAAT